TCCTACAAGAGTGTCCCACAAGAGTGTCCCACAAGAGTGTCCTATAATAGTGTCCCACAAGAGTTTCCTACAAGAGTGACCCACAAGAGTGTCCTACAAGAGTGTCGTACAAGAGTGTCCCACAAGAGTGTCCCACAAGAGTTTCCTATATGAGTGTCCCGCAAGAGTGTCCCACAAGAGTTTCCTACAAGAGTTTCCTACAAAGTGTCCCACAACAGTGTCCTACAAGAGCGTCGTGTAAGAGTGTCCCACAAGAGTGTCCTGCAAGTGACCCATAAGAGTGTTCTACAAGAGTGTCTCACAAGAGTGTCCTACAAGAGTGTCCCACAAGAGTGTCCTACAAGAGTGTCCCCCAAGAGTTTCCTAGAAGAGTGTCCCACAAGAGTGTCCTACAAGAGTGTCCCACAAGAGTGTCCTACAAGACTGTCCCACAACAGTATCCCACTAGAGTGTCTCACAAGAGTGTCCCTTAAGAGTGTCCTACAGGAGTATCCCACAAGAGTGTCTTACAAGAGTGCCGCACAAGAGTGTCCCACAAGAGTGTCCCACAAGAGTGTCCTACAAGAGTGTCCCACAAGAGTGTCCTACAAGAGTGTCCCACAAGAGTTTCCTACAAGAGTGTCCTACAAGAGTGTCCTACAAGAGTGTCCTACAAGAGTGTCCTAGAAGAAACTTTTACAAGAGTGTCCTACAAGAGTGTCATTTGGACATATTAATTGTTCGAACGTGTTTGCATTCGGGTTCGTGGGTTCCATCTTGTTTCTTTTTTTGGTAGGGAAGTGGAGGGAGTTCACCAGCTGTTTGGTCACCTTGGTTTTCGGATTGGCATTTGTCATCCGAGGATTTTCTTCGGGGGCCATGCCATCCACTTCCTCGTTTCAGGGGAATGTATATAACATGATCGAGTGTTTTTTCCTCACACGTGAGAGCAACTTCAATACTGTCAAAGCTCAATTCAGGTAGCATCAGGTAGCTGTTCCATGCTCCCCCTTCGAAGCCTGCTTGGGGCCAAACCCACTGACATCGGAACACAAAACACCAAGCAGCGAGCCGGCGCCCAGGATAACACAGGTCCGATAATTCTTTGATCAATCTTCTGGTTTCTGCGCACAAACAAATCAAACAAATCAAACAATTCAACACAATTTTGGTTTAAGAAGAATCCAAACAAATCAAGCAAACCATGGTGGGGGGCCCTCCACAGATCCAGGGCCGACCGATCCATGGCCAGGGATGAATCCACAGCGAGAAGCACCGGAGAAGGGCGAAGCAGGTTTGCCGGTTCGCAGATCAACATCCGTTAACACCAATTCACATGATTTAAACTATATAAAGAAGCTACACAGTAGAGATTAGCATGATCACAATTGCCAATGTATCACCGATCATGAAATCAACAGAACAGTCAGGTGTTCCTAAGATGGCCCGCCCATCGACACAAATAGACATGTTTCGAGATGTGCGGAGGCCATCTTTTAAAGGGGCTTGAACACTTACCATCTACGTAATCTATAGTGGATTGAGAGTAGATGGCACATACCCCAAGAGGTGATTTGGACCCTCCATCTGGACATCTTGAGGTCTGCGCCATCTGAAACCACTGTAGTAAGAACTCAACCAAAGCACCGGTCGCGGAACTCAGCTCCGACTCGTCAATGCTGTCCATCGGGTGGAACCAACGTTCGCCTCCGCTCCCTCCTTCCGGGCGGTGCGCCGGAGCCTGGGTCGAGCGAAATCGGAACGGGAGAAGAGTGGAGAGTCGGGACGAGTGGAGCATCCCGACTGAGATACCTTTGCAGCCTTTGCAATTGAAGTGGACCATCCCGACAGCCTTTGATACCCCTTTGAAACTGGAAGATTGATTTTTTGAAGCCTTTGCCCCATGAGAGTAACTCATGACCCATGTAAGTCACTCTTCCAGTCCCATGGAGCTTTGTAGACTCTGGTCATGTGGACTTCTTGAAATCAATCATCATGGAAGTGGAGTGAGAACCACATGTTTGGTATTAACAACATGGTCTTCCAAGGGACCAGGCCATCCATGCAACCATGATTATTTCAGGTCATGGTGGACTCTTGATGATATTTCAAACCAAGAGGTTTTACGTTACTATCATTTACTATCCATGTTTGGATTGTATTCATCAAGAGTCTACATTGTGAGGAACCTGGAGGATCATGCAGATTGACCTGCAGAACCAATGAAGACTGGACATGAGCATGCATCGTAGGAACCTAGGATGTTCTTGGCATCTTCAATTCGAACATGCACCTGACTGCTTTGCGCTCACCAAGGAAGAAACGATAAGGTCATGAACATGTATCATGTTCAACCAGCTGCCATCACGACTCCGAAGGCGACCATCATAGTCCATCACTTGTGCCTTGCGAATGAACACCCCACATCAACTGAGCTCGATGTTCCCTCACCTCCCGTGATCTCCTGAAGCCCCTCGACAGGTTCGGGGATCTGGAGTCCACCAGGATTGTTGTCCAACCGATGATGTCGAGGTGTATGTCATTTACTGTAGACTCTTGATTACAGTAATAACCCCCCCTCCGTTTGGATTGAGCAAGTTCGGGGGAGTTATTGTTAATCTATAGGGGCCATACATGCATCATTATACAACTGTTGGGATGGAAGTCAGCTTTGGATGCAGAATCCCAACCTTGCAGACCTGTTCTTTCTGGGCACTCAGGTCGGCGCTTGATCTGCAAGGGCCGCTTCTTCATCGTTTCGGTGAAGTCTTTGGAGGTAAAGGCCCGTGAGCGCTTGCGGTCCACTGACCTGGGAGGTGGGCGGTGGGAAGATCCAGCCATGCTCCTTAGGCGGTTGGGAAGTGAGGTGTTTGATCATTGATCATTATTGATCGGTATATATGCAAAAGGCTGTTGAGCTGGAATGTGTGGGTGCTGATTTTTTGGAGGCTTTTGCTCGGCAGATTGGTCAGGGCGGCTAGCTAGCTGACTGGCTGACAAAAGCAACGACTGCCAGGACATTCCCAATGGATGTCTGCTTTGGATGATCACATTGGGATTGCCTCAACAACAATCAAAACAAAGATGGCAACAAAACAGTTATGCCAAAATGACCTCAGAGGACAACTGGAAGGTGCTGAATATGATGATATCACAGCAAGAACCTTGGCCGCGGTCCTCGACCTAATCCCATCTTTTCCGGCAAAAGGCATGAACTCGTCGCCACAGCGGATGCCTGGTTGGACACCAAGGGGCCATTGTGTCTGCATTGTTCAGGGTCCCTTCTGAGCTGTCTTGCAACCTTGTGTTCTACTCCATGTGATCTTGAACCTGACCCTGGTTTTGGAACAGGCTGTCTGCACATGATGCGTATCTGGTAAGGCGTACATAGACATGACACGTATGTCTGTATACATTTGCTTGTGGGACCAGACTTGAAACCAACACACAACAAACACAACGGGCTAAAGTTGGCAGCAAAGATGCGCACCTCTAATGGTGTTAGTGATGGACGCATTCTATTTACCATCAGGATCAATCCTCAAACACACCACATTGCCAGCACCACGGGAATGTTGAGGCTCAAGCAGTTGTTTAGATAGACCCCCCAAATCCCCCAAATAGATAGAAAAGCAAACCCCACACAATATATGGAAGATCGTGCCACTATCTATATTTGGGGACCACTTGCTTGCTTGGAAACATGGTGTTTCAGAGCTCACCTCAGTCTGTCAGGCCTTGCTGGTCAGCCCATGATCCTCTGGTGACCTGGGAGCTCCGGAGCAGACGAACGAATTGGACCAAGCCATCAAACGGCCGACCTGGTCGACCTGAACGAAGGGTCTGTCCTTTGCAGGGTGGGATAGGCCCTTTCCTTTGCAGGCGAAATGACAAGGTCGACCTTGGCAGCCGGTGTGGTAGACCGGCTGCATGTCATGCACGACCGCGACCAGCGCGAAGGTTGAAGGGGAGATAGTCAGAACTGGAAGCCAGAAAAAACAACCAGAAACAAATGGATGCTTCCACAAAGAACCACTTCGTATGTAAAGGATCTCAATTGCCATATTGGAACACTGGTTGGGACTGAGCTCCCAGGGTTAGCTGTCATCCCAGGAAGCTTTCCTGTTGGCCCCACAGAGCTCCAGTGATATAAGCAAGTCCACTACAGAAACAAACAACAAGCTAAGCTGTGGACATTCTAGTTTGTGAGCAAATAAAGGGACCTCCAAAAATGGATGCATTTTAGATGTACATTGCATGCATGATAGCTAAACTTCAGCTAATGCATTGTACATCATGCTAGTACATTTAGTAGCCTTGTCAACGCCATGGCCGAATCCAGTTCGGCAAGCCGTGTCAGCATGGATCGGTGACACGAACGTGTTCGCAGCGAACCGTGCCGTGCTCACAGGTCACCCTGAGGAGCGAACGGACGTCGTTCCTTTGTTCCGAACCGCGAGCCGGGAAGAAAGCTGAAGACCCCCTGGCAAGCATAGATAAGGTCTCTATTCAACCAACCAGAGACCCTGGAGCATACCACTCCCTCATATATATATACCTAAGACTTCGAACATCTGTCTTTTTATTGTCTTTT